GTAGTGCGAGAAGGGCCCGCAGCTGGGCAGAGGCAGGGGCAGCCCTCCCCTTTGATCTGCCAGCCGGAGCCACACCATCAGGCTGTAACCGAGAGCTGGATACAGAGGCAAATACTTGTCCTTTGTTTCTACTTGACAAAATAACATTCAAATGTGCCGATATTACAGCAGGAGCAAATACTTTGCTCTAGCTTCGAGCAATGTACAGTGCCCTGTAAGATGGAGCAGCTGCAGCCCCAGGGCCTAGCCAGTGCCATGCTTTCTCTATCAAGGTATTTCTTACCTGTCCACTAGCTTGGCTGCAGAGGCAAACTTAGAGCAAGTCTGTCCTCTCCTGGCCTAGGCTAGGTGTGAGGTTGATGCACATAGCCAGAGCAGCAGTGGCTAGAAAGCGATGGAAAGGAATGGTTAACAAAGATGCCGTTTAGGGAGCGCTGCAGACAGAAGCGAGGCTTTCTGTATATCGGTGCCCTGGCCTGCAAGCAAAGCTAAACCAACGTTCAGGCACAAACGGGCTTGGCAACTGGCTGACAAGTTGGGATTGAGTGCTCCAACTAGGAGCAAACCAGGCTATTGATGGGAAAGCCCTTTGTGCAGGTCCTCAAGTGCCCTGGTTCTTCGAGAAGAGCTCCAGACCATAGACAGGCTGGAGAGGACTGATCCCTCCTTTAGGACCTTTCTAGGGCTGGATTGTCACTTCCAGGTGAGGCGCAGAAGGCAGCTCACTGCTGGGCTTTGTGGCTTGTTAATGAGTGGAAAAAAGCATCTCCAGAGTTTTCAAAAACCCCTTTTCCTGCCTGCCTTTCTCCAGTCCATCAGCCTTCCTGGTGCTAGCCCAGCTGTGACCATTCAGTGCGAATACTTGGCTCCACACTCCTTTCTCTCTCAGTTTTGATGGCATTTGCTCTGCACTGACAGAAAGCAGCATGGTTGCAACCCAGATGCCCAGGGCAGGTTCCTGTCATATGCAGAAATTGCCCCCCTCAGCAGACAGCTGTGCATCGCCGTCTTCGGGACTGCACTCAGACTTGCTCACTTTCAGCAAGACCTTTGCTCGTGCTTTTTGAAGACAGCAGCTCCCTGCCGAGGGAGAAAGCAGAGCTATGGGGCAGAGTGGAGTTTGCCCATCAAGCTTTGTTGGCACGATGCCCCTGAGGGGTGTTGCTAAAGCTAGGCCGTGCCAGGACCTGGCAGCATGTCAGGAGGGGTGTTTGTGGAGCCAGGGGCGCTTGCATTGCTGAGCTTTATTCTCCATGGCCCACCCAGGGCAGTGAGCTGTAAATCATTCTTCGTTTCCCTTCCCTCAGGCCAGACGCTGTTTTTCCCTTACTGCTTTTTAGTGCATGGGTGTGAGCTGGTGCTTGGAGGAAATCTCTGCACTCCTGGTTTCAGGCGCTGGGGAAAGGCCTCGACCTCTCTCCTATCACGTTGGTGGCATGGTCCTGCCTTGCTGGGAGCTGAGAGCCATTTCCTTGGTGGCCAACTGAGGAGGATGAGGGGGATTGGGCTGAGCAGCTGCTGCAGGGCTCTGGGACCTGCAGCCTGCGAGTGAAGCTTGCACGTGGCTGTGAGCTTTGTGCGCACACTCGCCTGGTGCTTAATTAGCTTGTTTATGCTGCCTGTGGCTGGACTAAGGACCATGGGAAAAGGGGGGGGACTCCAGGGGCCCCCTCTTGTTTCTCTAATTATTACTCTAGATACCAACCACAGTCAACAAAGTGTTTCGGGGGCCCACTGTGACTGGGCAGCGGCATCCTGAGCTGCAGTACGGCCAGGTACAGGCCCCAGCTCCCTACCCCGTGTCACTCATTCGCAGGCTGGGGTCAGTAAGGCCAGTCTGCAAAGCAAAAGCAATAGGGCAGCGCACCAGGCCAGAGGAGCCCGGCTGCAGGTCATGGACCTGCTCCCCTTCACTTCTTAGTGTGGAAGCAGGGTCTGACCTATACCCACTTACTGGGGCTGAGCGGGACAGCAGGTCCTAGGCATCAGTGTCCCAGGCCTGCACACTGGGTCTGGCCCTTAAGAGCTACTTAATGCAGCTCTCTAGAGGACAGGGTGCTCGATACAGAGAGGGAAAAGGTAACTGATTCACCTCTAGTGCATTTCTAAGCAACCCAGCACCCTCCCGAGGTAGACTGAGCTACACGAGGTGCCAGAACAGAGGTGGCAGGTTGCTCTCCGCAAGGGGCATTTCAGGATTGCAGCCAGACCCCCTGGCTCAAACGTTCAAAGTCCCTTTTGCTTCTAAGCGCCGGCTTCGAAGTCAGCTGCAGTCACAGAGACCTGCGGGCTCTTCGGCACAGATGAACAGCCGGAGCCAGGCTCTGAAATGGGCATACAGTTGGCTTTGGAAAGGTCTTAGGAAGAGAAGTGGCAGGGTCTGCTATGCTGTCCCCTGGGCTAGGCAGCGATCGGCAAGGTGCACTCTCCCAGGCGTGCGCAGCACCAGTCCATCGCTGCATACAACCTGGGAGGGCTACAGCAATAGCAGTGACCGAGGTCCGTGCAGGGTCTTCTTGCTCAAGCTCTCCCATTGCCATAACAATAAAAAAGGCCGCTGTTCTTACACGTAACGTGCGTGCCAGTCTGGACTCCCCCGACTGTCGACGCCTTTGAAAGCTGTGACCTCTGTCACGACTTAGCTCTGCAGGTGTGCAGGACTCGTGCAATGCTGTTCTCCGCCCACAGCCGCAGAGCAAGATCTTTTGTTCGTGTTCATTACTGTTTGGTAGAGCCGCGCCCAACTTAATGCAGGTGGAGCACTGCAAACACGACATGGTCTGGGGGCAGGATTTGCTCGGCTGAGTCACCTAATGCAAGGGGCCAGCTCCATGTTACGAAAGGCCTGGGAGGCAGAGATCCAGGGACCTGGTGTGAGGGGGCTCTTGGGCATTTTTGGTCACGCACCTGTAGCAGGTTTACTTGTTCAGTAGCCCCTTCCTAGGTCTGCCATCCGGCTCCACGGTGCAGAAGCAGCACTTCTGTATTGCTCCTGCCCTGCACCTCCGTCAGCTGCTCTCTGTGAGGTTAGGTAGTCCGGGATTGCAGGAAACATCTGCCTGTGGCTTAAAGATAGAAAACAGAGTGAGTCCAAATGGTTAGTTTGGGGGTGGAAAGAAGTAAGCAGTGTGTCCCCCAGGTCTGTGTTGGGGCCAGTGCTGTGTAACACGTTCATAAATGACCTGGAGAAGGAGGTGGCCACGTCTGCCGATGACACCAAATGATTCAAAACGGTGAAGAGCACGGCGGGTGGGCAGCTCAACGGCAATGTAACATAGGTCCACCCGGCTGCGACCTCTGCTTGGATGGGCTCGACAAGAGCTGTTCCCACATGGGGAACAGAGCCCGGGGTCCTCGGGGCAGTCCCCTAAAAACAGTGGTCCAAAAGGCAAACAGGAGGACGAAGGGAGATGTGCCCCTCGGTGCCTCCACGCCTGGATAACCCTGGTCCTCACAGCCCAGCCAGGGGCTCGAGCGGGGCAGCGAGGAGGATGGGGGCTTCCCTAGGACAGGGAGGAGGCAGACAGGAGAGGCTGCAAGAAGGGGAGGGTTACGAAATGCAAAGGGGAGAAGGAGAAGTCACTGGGGATTTATCTCCCTGGCTCTCGTCAGGCACCGCAAGGACCCAGGAGGCTGCTGCGAGGTGGCAGGACCCAGCGGGGCAGGACAGAGCCGGCTCCGCCCGTGGGGAGGTGGCTCTGCAGGCTGGGACCAGCCCTGCTGCCTCCAGACCCGCCATGGCTGGTAAGGAGCGGGGGGCTGGGACCGGGGCTCTCAGCAGCGCAGCCCCTGGGGGTCCCTCTGCTGCAGAGGAGAGGGGCAGGGAGCGAGGGGCAAGGCCCTGCCCCAGGGCTGCCTGCACCTGAAGGGCTGGGGGGACCCCTTCTTCCAGGGCACCCCAGGGAGCTCTTACACGCACAGTGGCACCGTTGCGGGGGTTTGGGCAGACACAGTTTGTGGGGGACATGCGACGTCAACTTTTTTAACCCGGCTCAGTAGCTGGAGAAACAGGTTTGAGTGCTCAAACTGATGCCAGCCCAGGGCAGGAGTCTCTCTGAGCTGCCCAAGGGGTGCAAGTGTGCTGCTTGCAGCAAAGTCCCAGGATGTCCACGCCACTCCGCGGGGGGAACGGGGCAACAAGCCGGTCGTAGCACCTTGCAGCGCTGGCTCCTAGCCCGGGCTTTCAGGGCGGGTCGCAGCTGTGCGGGGGGGACAGCCCGAGGTTTGTAGACTCGGTGCAACTGCTGCAGACACCGAGCTAGCACGAGCACCGATCCACACTCGTGCAGCTCACAAGGCCTCTGCTCCCTGCCCCCGTGCGACACCGGACACAGATCTGAGCCGTCCGTGGCAGCTCTGATGTTCTCACGGGGGCTGGAGGCTCCGGGCTTGGGCAATGCAGCTTGGCCTCCTCCTCCGGCCAGTCTCACTACAGCGCCTGCCCTGTGCACGTCCCTTGCTGCCTTCCCTCCGCACAGCCTCCTCAGTCCTGGGAAATGAGGTGTCCTGAGGGCTCCTCGTTTGCACCCCAATCTTGGTGGGTGTGTATAACCCCCAGACAGGTGCCAACCTCTACAGCCGCGCCTGGGCTTTGGTTTTCTTGCTGTGCAGAGAGCAGGGACTCTTGCAGGGCTGCCCCCGGCCACAGCCAGCTCCTTGGCCCAGGGCGGTGTCCACAGACAATTCCTTTTGGGTGCTCCCCATCGGGCCCTCTGCTTGTCTACCCCCTTTGCTCCATCCCTACTCTCCTCCGCTCCCTGCCGCCTGCCCCTGCTCCTTCCCCTCACACTGCCAAGTTGCTCCCACATGAAGATCCCAGCCGTGGCCCTGGGTGCATCGCCTGCGACTGCCTCCTCTCCCTTTTTGTTTCGTGGTCTGACGAAGGCAGCGCTGCGGCCTGGTGTTTCCTCTTGATCCTGGTCTCCGTCCCTTACGTCCACCAAAACCTCTCTCATTGGCAGCTCAGACCTGGCCCCCCATCCTCATCCCCCTGGACGCAGCAGCTGCCTTTGATGCCGTCGACTGTACTCCTCTTTGTGCCATCTTGCCCTCCCTCCCCATCCGTGGCGCCGTCTCCTGCTTTACCCCTGAGCGCTGCAATTGGGGAAGCTTGGTGTTTTAGGGTGCCTTTCCCTCCGGTGAAGGAAGCGCTCCAGCTTCTCGCTCTCTCTTCCAGCAAGAAAAGCCCTGATCGTGCTGGCGCACGCGGACAAGACCTCCTTCAACCACGCCATGAAGGATGCTGCTGTCGACGCGCTGCAGAAGAAAGGCTGGAGCGTCACCGTGTCTGACCTGTACGCCATGAAGTTCAACCCGGTGCTGTCCCGGGAAGACTTTACTGGTACTGAGCAGCGCTGTTCCCCCTAAAGCACAGAGCTCCTTGGCACCAGTCCCCAGCACTGACCTCCGTCCTGTTTTGCCTCCTCTCTCAGGTAAGCCAAAGGATCCCAACAACTTCAACTACGCGGTGGAGATGGGCTTGGCATGGAAGGAGGGCCGGCTGAGTGGCGACATCGTGGCAGAACAGAAGAAGCTGGAGGCTGCAGACCTTGTGATATTCCAGGTACCGCCTTCCTAGCCGAGGGAGCAGCCGTGGATGGAAAAAAAAGCAGGATTCATCTCCTGACCTCCTCCTGCAATCTCCCTGTCTCTCTCCCTTCCTCCTCAGTTCCCGCTCCAGTGGTTTGGGGTGCCGGCCATCCTCAAGGGCTGGTTTGACCGGGTTTTCACAGGAGGCTTTGCCTACTCCTATGCCAGTATGTACGACCAGGGTCCCTTCCAGGTAGGCTGCGCTGGGGATGGGTACTCACTTTGCTTTCCCCTTGCCCTGCCTGTGCTGGGGGCTCCCACCCGCCTGCAGCCGCCAGCCTGAGTCTCACCGAACCTACACTTTGCAGACCCGCTGCTCTCCCTTCTCCTCCGAGGGAGACCGTTAGGTGCAGACACTTGCACGTGCTCTCAAAGGGCAAAGGGGTGGGGAAGCCCGGCAGGGCACGTGCAGGGACGCGATCTGAGGGCGTAGCTGAGCTGAACTCCTCAGGTCAGGCGTTCCCCGTGCTCCGGCTTAGCGCTGGTCCTGTAGCCTGGTGCCGCGCGGGATGTGACCAAGCCTCGTCTCCCGCAGAGAAAGAAGGCCATGCTCTCCTTCACCACGGGCGGGGCGGGCTCCATGTACACCCCCAATGGCATCAACGGGGACATCAACATCCTCCTCTGGCCAATACAGGTACCGTTTTTACACCCGGGGAGGCAATGTGCATCAGGGAATAGGTAGTGACACCTTCTCAGGAAGGGGCCTGAGCGGCCAAAGGCAGCGTGGGATGAAGCTAGGGATAGTCTTGTTGAGAAGGGAGGAAAGTGCGGATTTGTGTCTACTCCTCAAAAGGTACCAGGGGACAGACAGCAAAGGCAACAGTCCTGTGCTGGACCCTGGAAAAGGGACTTTCCCTCTCCTGTGGTCCAGCCTGTGCAAGGAACTGCCTGCATGGCCCGGGCTGGAGGAAGGAGGGTGGACATCGGTACACTGGCAGCTGAACGAACTTGAGTTTCAGAGCTGGCTGCTTTAGCTTACCCACGCATCTAAGATGGCTCGACTCCCACACCTCCGAGCACATCAGCCATGCCAACCAGCGACTTAAAGAGGGTTTCCTTTTTGGCCTAAACTCACCGGGTGCAGTATCAGCTGTGTAGTGGCAGGGATGTACTAGCCCAGCCCACGAGGACCCAGATCCTGGGGAATTTAAAAGCCAGTCCCAAATTCCTGAAGCACGGGGGGATGAAGGCCATGCCCCTGCTGAGGAGACCAAGTGCACTTCCATTGCAAGCCAGGAGTCAGGGGACATGGGGCACACCACAGCGAATATCCAGGCTGGCTGATCCCCTGGACTGCCTTCTCCAGTACCCGGCGTGCCTTGGATGGAAGAGGCCATGTCTCTTCTTCCCAAATAGACACCAATTCCCCTGTGTTTCTCACCTAGAACGGCACACTGTACTTCTGTGGCTTCCAAGTCTTGGCGCCGCAAATCGCTTATAGCATTGGCCACACGCCTGAAGACATCCGTTCCCAAATCCTGACAGGCTGGAAGGAGCGCCTGGGGAGCATCTGGGAGGAGACACCTCTCAGTTTTGTTCCCAGCAGCAGCTTTGAGCTGAGCTTCAAAGGGGGCTTCAAGCTGAAAGCAGAGGCTCAGGAGCAGCAGAAGGATCAGAAGTACGGGCTGTCCGTGGGCCAGCACTTGGGGAAGGCCATTCCCCCCAACAACCAGGTCAAAGCCCAGAGGAAATAGCTTCCACAGCGACGCCATCTGGTGTCTGCCAATTCAGCGCTCTACGCAGGGGCTGGTCGCACAATTTCCTGTCTCTTTTGTCTTAATTTTCATGCTGTTCGAATGCACTTGGCTTTGGTTACATGTATTGGCTCTGTACGGGTAAAAGGAAGTGCCTGCAGATGCTCCAGTGCTGCAATGCATGCTGCACGGTACTGCATGAAAGATTAAAATAACCCTGGTCTACTGCACAGGTCCTGTTGTACCTCCTGGCCATCCGGACGACTGCTCCTTCTGTCCTGCAGGCCCCTAATAGTGCTGGGACTAGAGTCCAAACACAAGCCACAGGCCTTGAGGTCTGCTGTGGTGATAGTAATGGACTGCATGTAGTCTGGATTCCGACTCCTGAGAAAACCTACCTGTACTCTACGGTTTCACAAACCCCAGAAATGTGAGCAGACCCCCACACCTGGCTGCTCCTAGTCCCCCCTGCCCACCCCAACCCTTAGCAGGGGCTACAGGCTGGGACAGATTCTGCTAAATTGCTACTCCACACTCATGGCAAAGCCACATCTATCCCAATCAGGTAGCCTGAGTTAGCAGCTGGATTGCAGCACTTGAGCGAGTGCTGCAAGGGGGAGATCTCGTCTGTGGCACAGAGTTGTGCCGGTACTCTTAAGCTCTCTGCTCATAGGTCATAATGATTCTCAATAAAAGGCTTTTGGCTCTCTCTTGTAAACAGCTCAGAGTCGTCATGGTCTTGCATCCTCCCATTACGCCTATACGTTGGTCCAAAATTGGGCCCTGGCCTAGAGACCTTTATGTTACATAGCTCTCCCAAGAGAGTACAGGCTAGTTGGTGCTCCACGGTCTGCATTTCCCCGCCGTCACGTGCGTCTGTGTCATTCGAGTAACCCCATTCCTGCATATTATCTTTTCCTGTTCAGAGACCACTCGGACATCTCTGTGTCAGCCCATCTGCTCCTCCGCTGGCAGGTAGGTATTCAGCCAACCCTTTGTGTTGCACGTACAATGCTCCCATTCGTGTTTCAGGCCCCGATTCTGGGAATCCTGCTACTGCAGCCAAGGGGGTCATCTTGCAGCACTCGTCACAGATCAGCTGCTCCTCCATCCTACTGTCCCCCAGAGCTCACGTTGGAAGACACCGGGTCAGGAGGCAGAATAGTAAAAAGGATTTGCTGGTTTGCTTCCCCCTTGCCTGTGGATTTCTGTTCCCTGCCATGGGTGTGGGAAGGAAATTGCTCTGATTAAAGCCCCTGGAATGTAGCAATGAATCTAATACCTGAGGAGCTTATAAAACAATCTCAAGTGAGTGGGATACATCTGCAGAGGATCACGTGGTATCACAGGGAAAGACAAAGGCCCCTGAGGTAAGGCTGCAGCTGGCTGGCAAGCAAGCAAGGGCCTAGCAGAACCCGTGGCTAGGCACGCTTTCCTTCCCCCACATGAGGATTGCTGTCCGTTATCTGGGCCCATGGAGGGAGCCCCTCCTTTGCTCTGGTCCAGCGGCCGTCCAACAGGCCGGCTGCAGTGACAAATCCTGGAGCGCAGCAATGGAGCAGCCGTGTCTCATACGCTGCCGCCGCTGCATCTGCACAGTGAGGAGAGGTCAGTGCTGAGACGCGAGGTGGCAGTGGGAGTCGTGACCCATCCGTGGCTGCCGTGAGAGACATGGAGGCAGATAAAAGTCCTCAGCTACAGAAGTCCCCATAATCAGGTACTGGTTAAATGGCGGGAGTCGGGTTCTGATGCCAATAGCAATGTCCGGCACTGTTCCCTGGCTCCAACAGACTCAGCCCACCTGGATAAAACAGGTGTGTCCAGGAAAATCCGGCCACAGCAGTTCTTATGCCCACTGTTTGACTTGTGGTTATGTGGGATGGGGGAGATGTAGCTTTGGGGAATACCTGGCCTTTGGCTGAAATAAAGAGGGGGAGAGAGGGTGGCATCAGCACCTAACAGGCAGGCCTTTATCAGACACTCCCTGCCTGGGCCCCTGGTAGATTTGTATCCGACCTGTTCATCTGCACTTGTGACATGCCACTTCATACTCGATGACAACATTTTCTGTTGGGCATGGAAAGAAACTGGAGAGAGCTCCCGCTTAGGACAAAACCCTTCCCTTCTTTCAATAGCCTAAGGCAGCAGCAGCAACAGGCACAATTCACTGCCTGAATTTGAATGCAGAGATGAGCAAGACAGGGCATAAGGATTGCACAGCCAGGACCTAGTTCAGCACGTCACAGGCTCTGCCTGCCTACACACAAGTTTGAATGAAAAGCCGGTGACCGAAGCTCCTCGCTCAGCTTTGCGGTCTGCTCTGTGCCACGTTCTGAGCACACGCTGTAAACGTGCTAGAGCCCTGTCACGCCAGAAGTGTCCCTGCCCTCAGGCCACATGGCATCCCAAATAATCCTGCCAGACCACAGGATGGTGCCGACTTGCCTCCTTTCTGCCCCCATGCTGACTGTTGCTGTTTTGCAAACAGGATCAGCCTAGCGTGGGCCAGACCCCTACTAGGGGTCTGTGCAGTTTCCCTGCCAGGGGACAGATTCATGCCAGTACTCTCATTTCTCAGGGTAAACTTATCAAGGGCACCAAGGTGCAAAGCCCTCAGCTCCTGAGATGCCTGCTGCCATTTAGCTAGCACTGGCTGTAATGCTGTCACAGTGGGATGTGGGGGCATCTTGGTCACTCCCCGTGCAGCAGGAGAGGGGCCTGGAGGCAGCTGGCAATTAAACAGAGGACGGCGAGGCTACTTTGGCTCTTTCCAAAGCACCAGTCTGTAACTCCCTGCACGTACAGTGAGGTCAGGGCCTGACCTGCCACATGCTTCTTTGAGCAATAGAAGCAAAGGCTTTACTTTCCCCATCACAGGCAGTGGTAGGTAGTTAGCCCTGCTGGGGTGAACCACTTTTCCCTCCAGCTGCTACTTCCATCTCCAGTTGCAGCTGCCCTCTCGTGGCAAAACTATCTGCTGCAGCGCCGAGCTGCCCAGAAGAGAAAACTGGAGCCTGAGATTGCAGGGCTTCAGTGCAACTTCCCCACCGCTTTGTAACTGCACCCGAAAACGTGCCACCTTCCCCCAGGCAGCCTGGCTGAGAGGCTCACAGCACAGCCCCACTTCCAAGGGGTTTGTGCAGTAGGGTCTTGCCCATGTCCACACCCGATGCAGTGCTGGGAGCAGGACTGGGATAAGCAGGCTAGTCTTGCCACCTGAGGCCCCATGCTCAAACTCCTCCCTGCTGCTCTTGGCTCAGCTGCAGGGGCTGTTTGAAAGCAACACCAGGTAGGTTCAAAAGGGAAAACCAACCCAAGAGTGTACCAGCCTGTCTCCAAAAGGAAGGGTCACTTACTTAACCCTAGATTTGATGGCTGGTTGTTTTTTTTTCCTATTAATTTAAAACTTGTATCCTAGCACAGTCCCCCTCCTGTTTCTACAACTCAGTTCTCTCTCTTCCATAGCTAGGTGTCTTAGTAGCTGAGAGTCACAATATTGTATTCTAGTTTAAAAATCTAAAATTAGGAATGACAACTCATCGTATGAAAAAACTATTGCTGGGATCACTTGTTTGGGAGAGGATTTGTTTTACGATACCACAAATATTGCAAATATGTGATTGAATACGCAGCTAGGTAAACAGATACTGACCATTTTCTTAAACTGTCATTGGTAGAATATATGAAAGTTTTCCAGAGGAATTGTAACCCAAGGCGGCTGCCAGCTTCCTAATAACCAGAACAGAAAACACACAGCTCTGGGAATCCTGTACAAGGAGTGGACCCAGGTGACAGGCCAGCCAAGGGACTAGGGTCTCCGTGTGCTTCTATACCTCATAATCCAAAAGTTATTATTTTTTGCTCTTCTTATTCCTCCTAAATTGCATGCAACAAATGATTTAGTCTCTGACCAACAGTGAGGGGGAACATGCAGCTTTGGGGATCTTTTACATACACGATGAGAACAGCTTGAAGCCATGGTATCTTGGCCTGAGATTTTGCAGCTGAGGGAATTATTTTGCTCAGTCAAGACCCGTGAAGCCTGTGAGGAATTCCAGACTGGAGCACAGTGGCTGAATTGCATCTGCTCTCATGCTACCTGATATGGCCGAAGACATTATATGCACGCAGAAGGAATGCTCTGACCCACTCGCACACATCACTGCATTTTAAATTAATGTCAGTGACGAGCAAAAACAGTAAACAGAGAAGTGTCACTATGCCCACTCACTTCTTTTGGTTCAGTGTATGCTGATGGTCAAGAACAAACATCAGGCTACTACTCTACATGAAAGACGACAGAAGAAATACTGGAAGTGTAATGTCAGTGTGGGGCAACTGTGTCCACTTCTGATCCTCTTCGTTCTGAAAGAACACCACCCTTACAGGCCTGGAGGGACAGGAAATGAGAGGGACCAGGTCCAAGGAAGAGAGTCCACAGAAAGAGAAATCCTGGGGGGCAATTTTATGTTTCCCAGGCAGCAAGGGGGGCCGGGTCAGACGAAGACCAATTTGGGAGTGGGAGACCCAGTTTTCAGGACAAAGCCTTAAGGAAAGGATGCAGGCAGGGTACAAAAAGTGTTTGCTTACGTGGCGATTCCAAACAGGTGGCCAAAAGAAGATCAGCCTGGGCTCCACCTCCCCCGTTTTGGCTCAGCTCAAAGCCACGAGGCTACCATGACCAGCACCACAGCTGTATCAAGCTCTCTTCTCATGGTCTGAAAGAACACGACAGGAGTTTACACTGCAAAGTGAAAACTTTCAATGTTTTATTCTTGACTGTAGCTGTTTACAGAAATATAGTTGCGAGTATACAAATGTCCCAATAGAAGCAAAATATTTTTTTTTAATATTCAACAAGTTATCACAGGATAGCTAAAAACATAGATGCAAATGAAATATCCCCTCTTAGAACAAACTGAACACACCTGGTATCAGTGCTCGGAAAATCCCAACTACGAAAGCCATATACACAGAAATGCACAAAATATCTGGTGCTACTTTCACATTGCAGGACAAGGGAAAAGACAGCTCAGT